GTAAGGTCTCAACAGTGTTGAATAAAGTAGAAGAATCACTTCCCTTGATTTACAAGTGATACTCCTGTTAATACAACCCAGTATGCTGCGGGGGGTCCGCAACAAGACCGTTTTGACTTATATTGTGATCTGGAGGCAGAGCTGTACTGCTACCCAGTGCATCCACATGTGGCAGATAGAGGAATGAACTTCAAGAAGGGTTAGCTGCAAAATAAGGCGGAGTAACGCTGATCAGTCTCAGGCCAAGCAGCAGCAGCATCACCTGGATGTGGCGAGGACAGCAGATGGCAACACTTTCCCTCCTGAAGAGCCACATATATCCAATGTTGCTGCTGTGACATAGCAAGTAGAGGCTGCCACTATAATAAGCCTGTCCAGCCCCTAGCCCCTGCCATGGATCTACATGTCCTCAATAGCAGAGCAGGTGGAAGATGTTAGAGTCTCAATGGCTGCAAAGGCAGAAGGCTGCAGCAGAACAAGATCCCCAATTTGTCTTGGTCTCATTGGATTAAGGTCCCATTCTGTTAAGAACCATGTGGAAGCTGATGTGCAGCAGCTTCTCCATGATAAAAGGCGGCACACATGGGTGTCTTCCATGAAAATGAGTACATTTTTCAAGCCCTTTGGTGACCAGATAGTAATGATGGGAGCAGGATTACGAGGTCTGGAAGCACCTAGTCATGAACTGGTATGAAAGTGGCAGTTATAAAAAAGTCATCTAGCACTTGAATGAGGCAGGACTGCAATTCGACAACTGTAACTGACTGAGCAGCCCTCTTCAGGACCCATTGTGCTCACTCCACATGGGGAGGGGGCTAGAAAAGGTGCCTTTTTCCCTGACTGGATAACTACATCTAGTCAGATCACTTTTACTGTGGTCAAAAATATCAACGAAGCTGCACCATCGTTATCAGGACCTAGACCATCAGGACCTCCATGGACAATCCTAACAGTGAATGCTAAGAGCGCTGTACCACAATTGTGGTTCAAGAACTCAGGAGATGCAACACTGATGTTGCTGCGCTGAGTGAGATCTGGTGAGTGGAAGATGAGTTGACTATATCTTCTTCTAGAAGAGTCAATAGGAAGGAAAACAGTGGCTTCATGGAGTTCATTTTGACATCAAGAATGAATTAATAAACTAACTCAACAAGTTCCCTATCAGAATTAATAAGCGCCTCATGACTCTGTCGTAAACTGGTAGGGAGCCAATAAGCTACTCTCATGAGCATGTATGCCCTGACTCTTGATACCATTGATGAAACCCAGGAGAAATTCTATGCCATCCTTGACCAAGTCCTTTCTGACACTCTGGAAGGAGACAGACTTATTCTTGGCAATTTCAATGCCAAAGTTGGAAGGGACTTGAACCACTGGAATGAAAGCATCAGCAAGAAAGGAGTTGGAAAGGGCAACTCCAACAGCCTCCTCCTCTTGACCAAATGTGCAGAACATGGACACACCAACAGCCTGTTCTGCTAGAAAACCAGGCACAAGACATCAGCAATCTAAGCACTGGCACCCGATTGATTACATCATTGTTCATGCCTGGGATTACAATGATGTGCTCATCAGCTGAGCAATACCAGACTCTGACAACGGCTGAACTAATCACCAACTCCTCTTCTTGGTTATGTTGCTCAAACTGGCTCCCAAATGATAGCTACAGCAGAAGCAATGCCAACAGAAGACCAGTGTCAAAGGACTTCAGGACCCAATCAAGTGAGACCTCTTCCACTAGTGCCTCAATAAAAAAAAAACCAAAACAAAAACTGGTGTATTCCAATCAATAACAATAGAAAAATGTCAGAAGCACTTAAGTGCCTTCAACTCCATCATCAACAGCACCTGCAAAGAGACACTTGGATTCTCTACGAAGAAACATCAAGACTGGTTTGATGACAATGACTGGGAGATCCAAGAGTTGCTCATCCACAAGCAGAAGGCCTCCTATACTTGGCAGAATTACATGAGCTCCAAGCAGAAGAAACAGAATCATCAACAAGCCATGGCAGAAATCCAAAGAAGGACCCATTATATGAAGAACAAATGTTAGGGAGACAAGGCAAAGGCGATTCAACATTTCATTGACATCCACGACATGCATGTCTTCTTCAATGCTACCAACGTCATCTACGTTCCATGCACTTGGGGACCAATCCCCTTGAGACCTAAAAGGTGGACAAGACCTGATAAAGGAAAAAGGGGAAGGTGCCCTCATCTTCGGGCTTTGGCACAGTAAAGAAATCCCAGATGACCTCAGGAACGCCAAGATTATGACAGTCTTCAAGAAAGGAGACAAGTCTGACTGTAGAAGTTACAGAGGGATCGCCTTGTTCTCTACTACAGGAGAAATCATTGCAGGAACCATCCCGAATCATCTTCTTCCACCTGCTGAAGAACTTCTCCTGGAATCCTAATGTGGGTTTAGGGCGTCAAGAGGCACAGCTGACGTGATCTTCACAGCTTGCCAGCTACAGGAAAAATGCCAGAAACAACATTAATTTTCTATCATTCTATGGAAAGTTTGAGTTTGAAGGGACTTCAAGAGGTCTAGTCCAACTCCCTGCTCAAAGTAGGACCGCCCCCAACTAAATCATCCCAACCAAGGCTTTGTCTAGCCAGATCATAATAACATCCAAGGATGGAAAGTCAGGGGTCTCTCTGGATAACCTGTTTCAATGTTTTACTACCCCCTTAGTGAGAGAGGTTTTATTTTTCCTAATATCCAATCTAAACTTCCCTTGCAGCAACTTGAGACCATTGTTCCTTGTTCTGTCACCTGCCACCACTGAGAAGAATCCAACTCCATCCTCTTTGCAACCGCCCTTCAGGTAGTTGAAGGCTGCTACTAAAGCCCCTCTCAGTCTTCTCTTCTCCAAGCCCAGTTCCCCCCAGCCTCTCCTCATAAGTCATATGCTCCAGCCCCTAGCCATTTTCATTGCCCTCAGTTGGCCTCTCTCCAATTTCTCCACATCCTTTCTGTAGGGGGGGACCCAAAACTAGACACTACACTCCAGATGTGGCCTCACCAGTGCTGAATAAAGCGATAGAATTGCTTCCCTTGATCTGCTGGCAATGCTCCTACAAATGCAGCCCAGTATCTCATTAGTCTTCTTCGCAACAAGGGCACACTTGCCTCATATTCAGCTTACCGTAACCCCCAAGTCTTTTTCTGCAGAGCTACTCTTAGCTAATTGGTCCCCAGCCTGTACCATGCATGGGATCGTTCCATCCCAAGTGCATAAAGATGCTGAACAATACCAGACTCAAGACAGACTGCTGGAAGACATCACTTGATACCTTCCCTCTCAGCTAGACATTAATAAGTCAGTCAACAATGATTAATCAGTATTTTTCCATGAAAAATATTTCATTGGAAGATTCTGACCAGCCCTAATCACACCTGTTCTGCAGATATGTATTAAACTTCTCGCTCAGGCCTGTCAAATCAGCACCCATCACAATCAACATAACACGCTTCCATAACTAACCAATGCTATTCTGCTCCCCACTGCCCCCCCTCCCCCCAGCAGTTTCACATTATTTTCATGGAGGGCATCTGCCTATTCCTAAGAAAACTTTATTATTATTGCACAAGAAATCTTTTCAGTTTTTAGTGGAGGAAATTACTATTGTTCTGTAATGGGTGTTACGTCCACTTGCCATGAAATGGAATAGTGGAACTAAAATATCCAGGAAGAAAAAGGCTGACATTGGACAGATGCCCAGGTGATATAATCTGTTGTTATACTGATTTACAGCATCCAAGGATCTGTCCTCACATGTCTATGTGGACTGAGTGTTAATTCTGTCTCTTTCCCCAGGTTTTTTTCCCCTCACTGTAAAGGTATCTACAATACAAATTCATTTACCCAGGCTGCGAGTGAGCAATATAATAATGTCACGAGATATTTAGAGAGAGTAGCACATTATATTTTAGTTAATTTCTCAACAGCCTGGCCAGATCAGTCACTGGGGAGCAAAACACAGAATAACAAAATGGCTCATTTGAGAGTATTGAAAGATTAGTGGTAAACCACTAACACAAACCTACAGGGGAGGTTAAAGTACAATAGAGCCACAGGCTCAACCCTGAGAAAAAAAAGCTTTGATTAATCCCACTTAAATTTATTTGACCAAATTAATCTCAAATATATCTGCACTGGCCAAATTCAATTCTGGCATAACTGCACTGCCACCCAAATTAAATAAGCATGACGTTAGCTTGGAATCTTTTTTATATAGTGACAATGAACCACAGCAGAACAATTTTGTCTCTGTTTTTCCACATCTAACTGCTTTGGGTTTCATGGAACGTCCTAGAGAGGTAAGTGCACAGCAAGTAAAAATACTCTCAGAAATAAAACCTATTAGGTTGGGTTGCAGCATAGAACAAGAAATGCACCTTTACAGTTCTTTTTATTTGAATTATAATCGTGCCTAAGGTGTGTCAAAGACAGGTTTATTTGTTCAATGTATCTGTAATAACAGAGATGGGGTACCCTGCTCCGAAAAGCTCAACATAAATATTGGAATACAGCATACCAACAGAGCAGGAAACATCTTGCCATTTCCATAGGCTTTCCAAGATGCTGGGAAAACAAATCAAAACAAAGAAATATTGATGTTGACCATACATCAGAATAGAAATGGGTCTTCAGGAAGGTTTTTGATGAGATTGTATTACCCCACAGATGTGAAAAGCATTGCCAGTTACACAAAACAACATAGGAATGCTCATAAAAGGGGGTTTTTCCCCCTGGTTCTGCCCTCCACCTTTTTTGTTTGTTTGTTTTAAGCAGAGTACATCTTTTACAGGAAGCCTGCTAATAACAAAGCTCTACAAAAGGGGTCATTCAATAACATACAGTATTATGTTGTACTAAAATTCCCTGATTGCATTCCAGAGAGTCTCTTCCAAAAGGGAGAACCAACTTACCAAATTATCTCTTCCTCTCTCACTTCTTATTTTGATGATAAAATATAGAGGTACTCACCCTTGAGATGTGTTTATGATGAGCTTATCTGCAATCAGGAAAGGCCATGACACTTGGATGTTACTAGTCAGACTCCATTTATACTTACTAATGGGGCCTGGAGGTACTACTCTTTATACCTTTATACAGCACCATCTGGTGTTAGGAAAGCAATATTACAAGTGAGTAACAGCTACTGAAAGTTCATGGAGAAGGTGAAAGCAAATTGGTTAAAACCAATATGTGATGGATCCTAGGAACTAAAAGGATGGCCTTCATAGGGCTTTATTGCAGGCTAGTACATTAGTTTTCTTTGGGGACCTTACTTTGTGTGCAACCAGGTGTTGTTCCTTCAGGGTCTGCTTTATAAAGAATCAACTTATTTGGGGTAACTGCTCTTGCTAGAACACTTTAAAGAGCAATGTTTGAGTGTAGAATATAAAAGCCTTCTAATATTTTGTAGAACTTTGACTTTGCACCTTTCAGATCTCTATTGTGTCTGAATCCACAATGTCAAAAAGGCTACAGCTGTAGCGTGATTCAGGTAAAGGAGGTATCAAGACTGACAACTGTAACCTAACTAAGCCAACAGAGGAACTGTAAATAAGTTTCAGCTGTCATTTAAATGAGGCTGAGGACTGTTCTCCAACAAAGTAATAGGGCTCATCCAGAGGGGGAAACATCCCCCTAAAAGAGGAGAGAATATGGAATGATTCACAAGAAATAGTAATAAAATGCCAAGTCCATACAGTTCTGGAGAAGTCCGCTTAAGTGGAGAAGTGTAATACAGATATGATAGCAGAACAATATGAATTCAAGCCTGCAATCTTTTCTCAGTGTGGCCCAACGCTGTATATCTCTGAGAGAGAACCCATTTTAAAAGACAACAGCCCAGGTCTTCAACTGTCTCAAGTCCAGCTGGAGACCAGAGGTGGCTTTAAGCCAGCTCTGCATTAGCCAGGGATTCCCTCATCCTGGGGAAATCTTAGAAAGGTTTACAATTCCTTTTAGTGCAAATGAGCCAGCACATGATCCAGGGTATTGCTCAATGATATTACCCCTCTAGCTAAAGACAATCCTGTGACATGCATTAAGAAACGAAGAAATTGTTAGAAGATTAGCTGGTATAAATTGGAATTTGTGGAGAGAGATTCATTATGAGCTGTCTTAAATCTTCTGTAGTATTTTATATCTGCAGCATGGGCATGAATGTTGTCTGTGTGACTGCCATTTTACGTACGGTTTATACCAGCTTTATGTAAGTGTAAATGATGACATCACATAGAAGCCAGTAGACAAGCTGACTCAAACACCAATGTGTTTTTTTAGCAGAAAGTTTGTATCACCTCGTCTGCTCCTATTTTTATCTACCTTCTGTTTTTATTTTACTCTTCATTATTGCTTTGTCTTCATTTTAACTTTTGTATTGCATGCTGCTTTTTCTGTCATTTCTAAACCAAGTGCAAAGCCATGGTAGACTATCAATGGAGTAGATTTTGCAATGCCCAGCCCCCCTACGGTAGAATTAGAAAAAATATCAGTGAAATCCTGGAGGAATCTAATGGCTTGTACACAGAATAAATATACAAACTAGGACAATAAATATATGAATCTCTGTTTATAACACTGAGTATACTTTATTCACCAACATAGATTTATGGGCAATAACAGAATCCTACTGCATATTAAGAAGAAAGAAATAAAATATTGAGGGAAAAGTCATCTTGCTTTATAAACATGCTACTTTAGCATACTGAAAGAGTAGGAGAGGAAAAACTTACATAAGTTTTGAAGAAGAAGGATCACAAGTCCCTGATAGCAATGGGATATCTCCTTTAACCTTATTTGCTCATGTAAAGAATATGGCTTTTTTCTAAGGAGTAAACAAATGGGAAATATGGCTACTGGAGCTGGGCTGGGGCTGACCTGAGGAAACTACGTCATGTCAGAACCAAAGAAGTTTGCAAAGGAGATTTTTGGTGATTAGTTACAAAGAGGAACATTATTTAAATGCTGTATTTTAAGAACAATGTTAAATACATACATAATGAGTAGATATATAAATCACAGGCCAGCAGAAAATGGAGAAGTTAAAAGATATGATGTCTGAACTCTAGAGTGTATATGTGGCTGTACTGAATTTGTATTCTTCTTATCTGTGTTGCTTTTTGCCTAAAATTATAAAATGTCAGCTAAAAGCTCCCTGGATTGTGTTTCAGGTATTTTACCTTACATTATCCAGCACTTGGATACCACAGTGGGTATCACACAGGAAGTGAGAGAAAGTTTGGTTTTTAGAGGCAAAATGTGTACATGCAGCCACCAATTTTCAGCCTGGGTTTGTGGGTTTTGCAGCTGTGCCAGCTGTTTATAGATTTTTGCAGACATGGCTATTGTACCTTTGCTTCAACTGTAAATTGTCAAGAAATGTGAGGGGGGAAAGGAGGCTTGGCTTTGTGTTTCTAATGGCAAAGAGAAGTAAATGAAGGGGGTGAGATCTTGCTAATAGGTCCCTCCTTCCCGTCTTCTATTTTTGCCTGTCACAATCACAAAATACACAGAGGTAAGCAGTACAGTATGCCTTACTGAACTGTAGTAGAATATGGTTATAGCAGGGATCCTGGTTGTCTGATTTTAAAAAATCCCCAATTTTGGTTAAAAAAGTAACCCCAAATCCATGTTTTTCCATGATTTAAATGAACCACCACTAATATATAGAGAGATATATGGTGATGTTTCATTTTAATAATGGAAAAATGTGGATTTGGGCTTTTTTTAACCCAAAATTGGGGATTTTTTTAAATCAGAGAAAACCAGAATCCCTGGTTATAAGCCATTCTCCACTGCGTTCTGCTCTTTTATGCGTGGTGCTCTGAAACAGTTAAAAGAAACTGCAATCACCTCACTCCAACAGCAGACTGCAAGTTCAACCAATAAGTGTTTCTCAACAAAAATAAATGTAAAATGTATTTGGAAATTTATTTTTAATGATGACTGTGTGCTTGGTGGTGCAGTTTTTCTACAAAATTGCCTGTCACAAATGAAAATGTTTCATTTATGTCCCATTATGATTTAGTGTTTGTACTCAAAAACATTCCCAAAGGTGTCACAAATATGTCATGTTTGAGATAGCTCAAAACTAGAAATGAATCCACCTACAGTACGTTAGGCATTAACTCAAGTTCTCCTTTCAGTTACTCCTTACAACTTACTGCTTCCTGTCCTGACCTGGAACCAGGCATCATCCCTTAAGTAAGGGAGCATATGGAATTAGATTTTACCATTTCACTTCTGGAGGATAACAGAACAGATTATGGCAGACTCTGCAATATATTATGATTGCAATACTAATAAGTGATCCCATTTGATAAACAGTGATTAAGACAATGGCCATCAGAGAATATTGTAGACAGTTTTGAGTTCCCAAGATGTGCCGGATAAGTGACTTTAATCTTTCACAAGCCAAAAGCCAAACCCAAAGTTTGTCACTCATTTATTCTGGGAAACTCCCACTAACTGCAGTGGGATTTTGTCTGAGTGACGAATGAGTTAAAACTGAACAATAGCCCAGGCATTTATCCCACAATGCAGTTTCTCTCTTAACAACCATATAATAGAAACCTCGGGGTGGGTTTTTCATTTGCTGCTTTTACTTTCTAGAAGCAGTACTGCTAAGCCCCTTCCCCCTCCACATACGCTCTTAAGACTTCCTTACTCTGCCATGATGGCATTAAAACCAACTCTTTAAAATTCATGCAGTTAAGGTCAACAGCATGTGATGTCACTGCAGTGATAGCAGAACTGTCTTTTATTACCATCTCTTTATACGAGAAGAAAGCTAATAAAATCTTTGATCATTTCTGATGCTGCACATCGACATGCCAAGCAGAAAGAAGAGCCCAGCATGGGATTGTACACTTGCATTCGGTCTAAAGATGAGCATGCACAAAAGAGGGCATGTTATCATGGTGTCTCATTTGTGTCAGATACTTGTTTTACACCTGGCAATCTGATTTATATCCAGAGCTGTTTGACTTAAACTTAAGACTTGTCCATAACTTTAAAAAGGTGTGTTTATATAGCAACATACTCAGTCACATAAGGACCTTTATCTGCACAGGAAAATACATGTATATCTTCATGGACCAGAGGGACAGATTTCCAGCTTCAGCTTCCTCTGTGCAAAAATGAAATTTATGTCCTACATATGGGGACTTTTTACCCACTTTAACTTTCCCTGAGCCTGATGAAGGATGTGCAAGCCCAAAAGCTTGCAGAAAAATACATATCTATTTTGCAGTTTCTCAGTTGGTCTAATAAAAGGTATCAGCTCTGAACCAAGAGTTCTAGATTTTTGCATTTCTTTTTGTCTCAGACCAACACAGCTACCAAATACATCCCTATCTTCTGCATCTGTGTTTATCCATTAACTCCTATCAAACAAAAGCCCCAAATCCAACATGCCTCAAGCTTCAGCAAAAGCAAAATTTCAATCCAAATGTAGAGCAGACACGCAAGCCTGGGCAGAGGGCAGATTCTGAGTTGTTGTGGGTGGTGTTTCTGTTAGGGTTTTAAGCTGGGCTAGCAGTTTGTAGTTCAACTCTTCAAAGTTCAGGGAGCATTCAGTTTAGGTTCAATACTCCAAAAAACATATAGGGGATCTGAGAAAGGTATTGCCTGGTAATATATGAGGCCTAAAATTGTACATATATCAAAAAAATGATGATAGAGAAGGTGACCAGCAAGAAGTGTGCAGTGTTATCAGAAGCTCCAGACACCAGGAGGTTGTGGTAAATCACCGTAGTCTCTTCAGATCTTATAGTATATGAATCTTTGGTTTTGGCTACAACTTTTTTGTTTGTATTATCATATCTTCTGATAGGAAACATGAGGCACAAATGAACCTCCATGTTCTTTTATATGCTTATGCTTTTAACATTTTTAGATTTGTAGTTTGATTTAGGACAGCTAAATACATGCTCTTACTAATGGTGGGGAGTTTGGAAAGCTATGGAGAATGTGTGGTTTACTTCAGTTCCTTTGCAAACTGCAATAGTATTGGTTAACATATTGAGTGCAAGTGTAGTGGCATCA